ATTTACTGTAAGAGAGCAAGAAATCAGTAGGTGATTACAGTCCTCATTCTGCACTTTACATAAAATGCACCAATTGGGGGACAAGCATGAATAAGGTCTCYTTTTTTGTACRTTGTCCACARTATTAATTTTACCATAATACACTTCCCAACAAAAACCAACAATTTTAGGTGGAATTGGCCTTGACCAGACTTCTTTAACTGGGAACAACAAAGGGGAAGGAGTAGAGTAAAGGGACTTAAAGAAGGAAAAACAAGAGAAGGAGCCACTCGAGGTGAAAGACCAAATTCTTCTATCTGGTTTAGAAGGGTCCAAACAAACAGAATCAAGTAAAAGTAAGAGCTTAGAGGTAGAAACCGATTCCTAATCCCTCAACCCTCTACGGAACCCAAAATCCCAATTTAGAGACAATGGGAGAATGGGGGGAGAAAGAAACCTTGAAACAGGCTCCTTTTTATAGAGGAAAATAGAAAAAAGGGAGGGATAGAGGTCTTTTAATGGTTGCTTGCCCACCCAAACATCTTCCCAAAAAAGCATAGAATTACCATTGCAGACATCATACCTTACGAACTTAAGAAATTTTGGGAGGATGCCAAAAATCGCCTTCCAAGGTGTAATGAGTGTGACCCGTTGAGATACCCCGGCATCCCAACCAAATTCAGAACAACCATGGATACTAGCCACCACCTCATGCCACAATCTCTCTCTTTCCAGAGGCCACCTCCATAACCACCTGCCCAAAAGAGCTTCATTCTTATTTACTAGGTTCCCTAACCCTAAGCCCCCTTCTTCCTTGCTTCGACTCACTACCTCCCATCTAATCAAATGATCCTTTTTCTTTGCACCTGGATCCCACAAAAAATCCCTCATCAACTTTTCTATCTTCTTGGCTTCCCTAACAAGTATCAAAAAAACAGACAAAAAGTAAATGGGTAAGTTTGCGAATGTAGCCCTAATCAAAGTTATTCTACACCCTAGAGAGATATAGTTCTTTTTCCAGGTCACTAGCCGTTTTTCAAACTTCTCTACCACCAGGATCCGAAACCAACTTTCCTTTGGATTTGCACCTAGGGGAAGTCCTAGATAGGTCAAGGGCCAAGCAGAAATAGGACATTCTACTCCAACTCCCTTCCCTCTACATTTAGCCCCACACAGCTCTTCTCAAGATTTATTTTTAGGTTTGAGACATTCTCAAAGAGGGTTATTAGATTTCTCAGATTCCTTGCCCTCAACAAATCACATCCCTCACAAAAGATTATGATATCATCTGCAAACTGAAGATGGGTAACCGAAACTTGATTTCTTCCTAAATCTCCATCCTCTTATTAAACCACCCCTGTCTGCTATTGACAAAAGTCTACTAAAAAAATCAACAACCAATGTGAAAAGGAAAGGGGACAATGGATCACCTTGTCTCAAGCGCCTACATGTAGGGAAAAAATCCTTTACTACATTTACTAAAACTGAGTAATGGCAAGACGTCAGACAACCACCTATCCACTTGCACCATTTATCCCCAAAACCACACTTTCTGAGCACCTCTAGTAGAAAACCACACTTTCTTCTTCCTCTTTTATTTTTCTTATTTCTGAATACTTCAACTTGGTAACAGAGCATCGAGAGATCAAGGAGAACATCATCCACTAGTTGTGACTCAGAGACGAACCTGCTGACATCAGCACACCGCTGGTTCACATCAGTAGCCCGTACAGTTGGCGTGTCCATTTGTGGTTTCGATGCCTGTTGATGTGCGTCGTTTTTAGAGGAATTTTGATATAGCTTTCATGGAGGATTGAAGCCGCTTTACATTTTTCTTGGATTTTTCAGATGAAAATTGGCAAAAAAATCCAAATCTGGAGTTTAAGGCTTGCATGCTCACATGGTAGGTTGGTTGCTATTAAATCCACTTGCGTTTGATTCATGGTAAATTTTTGAGACTACAAGTAGTCTTAGATTTTTTGGAGTCCTACAACACCTTCTTTTCCCTTGTTTTATTGTTGTAGCACATATTTAACCTTCAGGGAAAGGTGTTTGGGTGTTCAGCTAGTGTTGGGATACTACGGTGTTGGTGAGAAAAGTGTTTTTAGAGGGGTTGTGATCAATGGACTCACACAAAGATGTGCAAGTACCTACCTATGTCCTCCTGGGAAGTAACGACAATGCTAGAGGGCAGATAACTATTGTAAAACTTGATGGAACGAGTTTTCTTGAATGGTCTCAATCAGCTAAGCTTACAATCGGAGGAAGAGGTAAGCTCAGGTTTATTACCAGTAAGGAAGCTAAGTTGAAGCATGAAGATCCAAATTATTCCAAATGGAGTAGGATAATCCACCTCTACTTTCAAGTTTCAACAATGAACTAGCAAAAATACCAAAGTAGCCATCAGAAGCTATCAAGTTGTTTCCATGAACTTGAGAAAAATAAAAAAGGGAAAAGGAGACAAAAAAGAAAAAATAGACTAGCAGGAGAAAGACCGAGCACAACAACTCAATAGCATGGCTGAGGAACTAAAGGTATGCATCTCCAATTCATGGCAACATTCAAGTAGAACTTGTAAGAGACTCTTTTAGGCCTAGTTAGTTTTTCATTTGGTCATTTACTTGGGTATGTGCATTTATCCATGTTCTTTTGTTTCCTAGATACTTTAGACAATGACCGTTTTACTGAAAAAAGAATATGGGATTGTTGGTCAACAGGAACCACTTTCTCATCGACCAACTCCCCCCCCCCCCCTCATTTACCCGAAAAATGAATAGGACCTTAGAGAGATGGATAAGGACTAAGAGAGAATGAACAAAGCAACAAAAGCATAGTGTTTGCATAAGAGAAAATGACTCATGACTATGGATGTGAGACTTCTTAGGGGTATTTTTGGAAAAAAATTATGAGACCATGCCCTTTTACATTTTTCACTCACTTTAGAGGCCAAATGACGAATCTTAGATTTACAACGGTGATGGATAACCAGTATAGAGGGTGTTTTATTAAAACACAAACTAGAGGTTAGGTTTTAGTAAATAGGTTAATCTATAAGGGGTTATAAGTAAATGACCCTAAAGATAATATTACAGTAAACAAGATAACTTGAGTAGATGACTGAAATGCTCATTAAAGAATTAAATAAATGGCAAGTCAACAAACAAAGCAAAACACAACTTTCCAGGAAGGGGGATGGTAGTATGCATCTTTCTTTCTTTCTTACCATCTTGAGAAAATACTAGTTAGGCCTTGTATATCCAAGGTATTCTGGCCATCAACGTAAGTTAAACAGAAGGTCCATGTTTTTTTTTTTTTTTTGATCAATAACAAGAAACTTTATTAAAGATATGAAACTATGTGAAGCTTAGGTACAAAGGGGAGGTAAAAAGACTTAACTCCCCATCAAAGAGTACAAGGAAAAAAATAAAAAATTAGCCCAAAAAATTGAATCCCTATTCACCCCTTGCTTTGCTAACCCATCAGCAAAGGAATTAGCAGTCCTCTTCACCCAATTGTAATGAACCACCATATCCCTACTCAGCCATTTAAATTTATCCTTCTCATTGTTATAACTCCATAAGCCGCTGTCTCCCCCTTTTAGCCACCTAATCACCACCTCCAAGTCACCTTCAAGGAACAAACATCTAATGTTCAGCTCCCTTGCTCTTTGGATGCCTTTTAGGGCTGCGAGGATCTCAGCCCTAAGAGAGTCTCCTTCTCCAATTGGGCCTGAAAACATAGCAATAATAGCCCCCACCTCATTCCTGAATACTCCCCCAATCCTAGAAGGTCCTGGGTTCCTTAAACAGCTGCCATCAAAATTCAGTTTTATGAACCCAGAAGGAGGGGACCACAAAGGACTACAGCCCCTCTTACAGAGGGCAGAGGAAGCTATCTCCTTCCAATTTCTCACCAAATCAGCCACAGAATAATCTGAGAACAGTTCCATAGTTTTCAACCAATGTGCCACCCTTAACAGAATTAGATCTAATAAGTTTCCGATGGTTCTTTCCTTATCTGAAAATATTCGTGAGTTTCTTTCTTCCCATAGAGTCCAACACACTGCAGCCCTGATGCTTCTCCACATAATCTTCCCTCTCTTCTTCGGCCATCTGAAAAAGGAGGGAGAGAACAAGCTTTGGTCACTCCCAGGGGGTATCCAAACGCACCCAAAAAGGGAAAATTCCCACTCCCAAACTGATTTAGCAACCGAACAAGTAACCATAAGGTGGTAACCAGTTTCCCCATCAGCTTTATAGAGAGTACATCTATTAGGAGGTAAACAAGAGTTGGGTCTCTTCTTCTGAAGTAGGTCATTTGTGTTAATTCTTTCCAGAAGGTCCATGTTCCATAATGTAAAAGACAGAAAGAACAGAAATTAACATACATCAATTGGCCAAATTCAGTCCAACCAAAATTAGAGGTTCAAGAAAAAAGAGAGCTATTCTCTTTATACTGGATAATAAATACTGCCCAATTAAAAATCCAGGTCAGATAACCAAACAATTTTCTGTTACTAGTGTTATCAAAACATCAACTTATCATCAATTAGTTGACCAACTAGTCAACTACAAAGTTATTTTAAAGCTTTGTTCATCTATCTTTATCTCTAGTCAACCACAAAGGAAAGAATGAGCAGTCAAGCTTGAATTCTTTCTTTGCAAAAAAAAAAAAAAAGGCTGTAATTCTCTATCCTAGCTTATCCAGCATACAGCCTGACTATATGTTTGCAAAACAAAGTTTGTAAGCTAAATACTTTCTTTTATTGTATATTCACCTTGGTTTTGCTTGCTGTTATGCAAAGATTATATGGGGTTACTTTTTCTCAGTGCTTAAAATTGATGCGGAATCCAAGATAAACAGGAAATTTTTTTCCTGCTGGCCAGCTTTAAATGGAAATAGAAAAGCAAAGACGATTTGGAGCTGTGAAGACAAGCATAGAGGCCATGACTGGCTTGCTTCAATCATTAGCAATAGGATTCTGGAATTGGTCCTGATTCTCCCAAAATTTGCAGGGGATGGAAAGGAATCTTTTGGCTCTGGGTTTTAGAGTGTAACTATTGAGTTTTTTTTTATTTG